TGATCTTGAGGTCCTTTCCAACCCAACCCAGTCTATAATTCTATGATATCTGAACACTCTGCTGATTCTTTGGTATAGGATTTTATATCACTGGGAGCATGTGGTTTTTCAGGAGCATGACCTTTTAGTTAGAGGAGAATATACTGGAAGAAATATTAAGAAAAAAAGTTATATTTACCACACACTGTCTTCAGTCAAGTGCAGGGTCTTTCCAGAAATGTCAATGTACTTATCAACACTCAGATTTATATTCCTGTCATGGGCAGAGTTGAAGTTTGTGATAACACGAGTAGGTATTCCCAAGGATCTCAGGACTGCAATACAGAATACCATAAATGTGCTGTAAATCCATTCTACAGACATTTAGAAAGTGTTTTTCTGTTTTTTTAGGAAAAGCAGTCTAGTGTATATGTTTTCAGTGGGGAAACAAGCCCTCAGAAACTTCCCTCTTAGAAAATGATGCTAGTCACTGTCATCGTGCACAATTGCTTAGAAGGCAGTTCCACTCAAGTGACATTCTTAGCTGCCATGTTTTTTTAAGAGTTAGATTCACCCATTTATTTTAATCTTTCATTCTTCATCCTGTTCTCTCTCCCATTTTCTCCCTGTGTTTGTTTTTGTTACCTTCTTCTTTTTCCTCTTCATTTCTGAGACATACTCCTCAGTTACATTATTTTTCCTTTGTATTTTCCCCAGAGTGACTCTTGTCTCTCAGAGCACCTCTGAATGGAAACTGCTAGGATGAAATGCTTTTCCCAACTTGCAGCTCCTTTTATAGGTCCTCAGAAATGTGATTTGTTTTTCTGTCATCAGTAGTTAAGACACAACACTGGCATTGTGAGGACATAGGAGAGCACTGGTTTTCTTTGAACTCTAGCTTTGAAACAGGAAACCTTGCTCTTTTCAGCCTGGCAAACTGCTTTGCGTTTTGTTTGATGATTCACAAAACTAGGGTGCAGTACTACAACTTATGGCTGTTTAAAATTGAAGAAAATAACCCTTCATGCATGGAAAGCATAGGTTCTTCACTCTCTCTGTCAAAGCTTCAACATCACAAAGTTAAAGCTACAGAAATTCTATTAAGCTTCCTTTCTGATAGTATTCTTCACCCCTTCATGTATACCTGTGCACATTACTCCTGCGAAGACCCAGCACTGGCCATACCGGACAGGTTTGTACCTGCCCCTGTACCACTTTCGAAGGATGGTCACGCTTCCACTCCACCGCAGGGGGTTGGTTCCTGAGCAGTACTTTCCATTCCACTTCCCTTCCACTACTCCTTTTTCATCATTGCTGTTAACCTGAAAGAGTCCTCCTCATGACAGACTTAAAACATTTACAGAAAAAGGGAGAGAGGGAAATAGGCAGAAATGACCCTGTTTGTGCCACCTTTCTCATTGGCTGAGTGGTGGGATATAGTATTTGAATCCAAGACAGAATTTTGTCTGCTCACATGCAACAGTTGGAATGTGGTAGTAAGGCATGTATTGTTTGTAATATGAAAAACTTCAGTGGTCCACTTGTGCAGTATGTTTGTGAGGATGGGGGATGTGTTGAGAAGGTGTAACTGTTGAAGGAAATACATACAGGTCTCTCTGAACGAATACCATTTAAGTGAAGAATACTAAATACACACATAAAATGCAGCTATACCAACACTGGTTTTCCAAAATATTCCATGTTTCTCTTGGTGTTTGGAAAACTTAGCAAATTATTTCAGAATGGACACAAGCTTTCCAGATTAGTGAAAGATCTGTTCCCAGGTTACCCAGAGAAGCTGTGGCTGCCCCATCCCTGGCAGTGTTCAAGGCCAGGTTAGATGGGGCTTTGAGCAACCTGGTCTAGTGGCAGGTGTCCCTGCACATGGCAGGTAGTTGGAACTGGATGAGCTTTAAGGTCCCCAAAACATTCTATGAGTAATTTTGGAGAATGTATCTCCATTTTATCTCTTCTGTAGCTACTTTTTTTTCCCAGAAAAGTTAGCTACTCCGATAAATTCACAATAAAGTATTGGGGGTTTTGTTAGTAAGTGTATTGTACAGCTGTAACTAGTTGATCACTTTACCATGGCACTGACAACCCTGCTCACATAGACAGGATTGTTTCGGTTGGATACATCGACAGCTGGATCTTGGCAGTGGTTCAGGCTTCGATCTAGTATAGCCAGAGAGATATCAAGGATATCCTCTTCAAACTGAAATCAAAATAATCAATATATTAAAGGCTAATTTCATAAATCAACCCAAGGATGAACTCCCCACCTACTCTCCTTCTCCTAGTGCAATAGGATGATGTTGGTAATACAGGCATTTTTTGTACTGTTAAAGAAAATAGGGCCACGAAGAAAACAAGCACTAGGCTGCTGAGCCTCCATGGTATTTGAAAGACAGCATGTTTCTGAGCACAGTTTGGGGCCATTGCTACTAGCATTCACAAAGACATTACATGGCTTGGTGGAACACACAAGACCACTCCAGATCTGGCTCAGCAGGCTTCTCACTCTCTCACATCTTGTCATGCTCCTACAGGTACCCTTATATTATAAAAGCTGATGGACTGTCAACACCTTATATCAGATGATCTAAACTGAAAGAAATAAACAAAAATAATTATCATGGATTAGATTCACTGGGACGCTGTGTTGGGCCCAGAGTGCCAAGGTGCTGTGCTGCATGGATGCAGTCAGGCAAGGATGCTGCGTGTCCTCTAAGACAGAAAGCAGGTCTGGCCTTGTTTCGCTTATTAGAGTAAAAGTAGTCACACTGATCAGGGGGAGCACTGTGTACAGCTACTAGTGCAAAAGTAAGCCATGAAGTGGTCAGGAATGGTTTTGACTGTCCCAACAAGTTGCAGGATAGCAGTGTGACTACATATAGGCTATAGTCATGACTGTAGCAGTTATGCTTAGAAAGCCAAACTGATTTTCAAAAATCCCAACTTGAGTTATTTCAGTTGAGTAGATTTGGGATATCCTTTTAGTATCTTCTGCCCCGTTATTGAACCAGCTCTGGAAATATTTAGATGTACTAGCCTTGCAATACCTAGAGGTTAATACTGTAATATTTTCCTTTGCCCTTTACAAGGGTCAAGAAACAAGTAGAATTTTGCCAGTTTCTGTAATAGGCAAAAGAAAAGGAAAGTTATGCTTTGTTTCTTTTATTTTGGTATTAGCATATGCCAGACAGGGAAGATGATCCTGATGCTGCTATAATGTGTCAATAAATGAGATACATACCTGCACTGCAAGAAAATCAGAAGTGAGAGAGGAATTCTGAACTCTTATGCTATGAGATAATTACTGTCCCTCCTCAAGAGCCTATTTACCTTCTGTTCTTATTTTCAGCATTCTAAAATAGGTGATGCTGTTTACCTGTCCATAGTTCCAAGCTTCTTGTTGAATATATTTTTCCAGTCCCTGAAATATGATTCCACTCTCATTCAGGACATACTCCCATCGCTCCTTTTCATTAGGCATATAGACGTCATCATCTAGAAGCAGAATGAGATAGACAGGCTGAAAGCAGAGTTGTTTTGCTCTAAGTGAAAATCTCATTTGAAGGGGAGTTCAGGGAAAAAAGTCAGGCTGCCTGCGCTTTCACACTCTAGGACTCCCTCATCATTTAGAGAGTGTATAATACAAGCATGAAGTTCCTTTAAGGGGAACTGACTATGCTCCTGTTCCTTTGCTAATCTCAATATGTGTCTTACTGGTTGATACCACTTGGTTTATAACTGAATGCAAGTATCAGGCAGGAAAAAAATGTAGAATAAATATTTGGAATATTTCCTGCCTCTGATTTCTTACTCTACAAGGAAGAGGCAGGATCTTTGACGCATTGCAGCACTGAAGGGGCAAAAACTTGATCTTTCATGTCGAATAAAAAAAGTAAATCTTTCTGTAGCTGTGACTGTCAGGTGCATGCTTTACCATGACGCCCAGATTTCCTGACTGAGACAATGAGGTATTTGAAGGATATGATACATCAAAACATACTTGGACACCAGGGATTGAAGAGTAGCACAAATTGGCCCAGGAGTGTTGAAGAGATCTTGTTCCCAGAAGCAATCTGGAGCTTGAGTTTGTATCGTCCAATGACAGCATTGGCTGGGCTGAATATTATGAAGTTCATGCAGCCAGGCTCACTGGGCTCTTGGGTTGCACTCCAGCCATTGGCACCCTCTTCAGAAAGGTTAAATATGGCCTTGGTCTGCTGCGATTCTGCTGGAGATGGTCCTGCCAGAGGGAAGAGGGACAGCAATTCTGAACGACAGCTGTGGGTGACACACTTGGGGTCAGTGATGATCTCAATTCTGTATTTTTTTGATGACTACACTGAGAGATAGTGGCATGTCAGATCAAATGCTTACTCAATGTAAACTGGCTGCGCTCCTATCCAGAAAATCTTTGTAACCTGTTACATGCACAACTCAGTAAAGGTGAGTAAACCCATAATCATTCTAGACAAGCTTGTTGTCCTGAAAACAGAATATGCAGGCAGGATGGGCCACACATTGTAATACACGTTTCATTAAGAGTTAGTAGCTGCCAGGAGAATTTTTTTGAGAAGTCTTTTGGGGAAGATATGGTTTAGAAATGGAGTCATATATATGTTCTCGTAATAGGGAGCACATGAAGTTAATCAAGGGTGAGCTGAGAGAGGTGGAGTTGTAAAAATGTTTGGGGATGACAAGATAAAGACAATTTGCAGTATTGCAGGTAGGTCCTTAGGAGCAGAGATAGAGGCTTGTTTTTTAGAAGGAGAATGGCCCCTATCTTTCTATTCATTATTACCTTAACTGTCTATTGCGTGGAGGTACAGATGGAACTTTAAAATGGGAGCTCCTAAGCCTAAAATAACAACAAACCCTGAATTGATACAGGACAAAGTTTAATGATTCAGGAATGGACAGCATAGCTGTAAGGCACTTGTGTTGTGGAGCTGCAGTGACTTGGATGTGAGTGCTCTGGGGAAATTACCTGTGCTTGCAATAAAGGTGAAGTTGTCTCCAGATTGCACTGTTTGGAGGTTCAGAGTGATGTTGAAGGCCTGACCTCTCCTCAAGATTGCTTCTGTGCTGCTGTACTCAGAGGTGTGGTGTGCAGCTTTATTTAGTTTGGATTGCCAATTGACATTTGCTATTTTCAGGGCTAGAAAGACACAAGGCAAGTTAACTAAAACATTGTTCCTTCAAACATGTGCATCTTTTCAGCTTGTGTAATGTAATTTTATTATATAGCTGGAGTTACATGCTCTAGGAAAAATCTACTGTTATTAAAAATTGTAAAATAAGCAACAACAACTTAGAGGAACAGCTACCACATCTTTCATGCAGGCAACTTTCAGAGTCAGAAGAAAACATCCATTCAGGGAATTAATCTTTCATGTAAAAAATAAATCAGAAAACCTATTGTATTTAGATAAGACTTGGTAAAAAGTTTGAAGATGCTGTTCTGCTGCACCATGTTCCTGCTCTTTTTCTGGGGGGTATCTCTAGTTCCCAGAATGCTTTAAAGATGTACAAAAAGAAGTGTTAAAACTCTCATGAGCAAGTGTATGCCTGATCCTGGAAATGCTGTATGACAGCTGATGAATAGAAGTCTAATATCTTCATTGTTGGACTTGCACATTATCTTCTCACGTATCTCGTATCTCACAGAATCATAGAATAGTTAGGGTTGGAAAGGACCTTAAGATCATCTAGTCCCAACCCCCCTGCCATGAGCAGGGACACCACACACTAAACTATGTCGCCCAAGGCTCTGTCCAGTCTGGCCTTGAACAGCTCCAGGGTTGGAGCATTCACAACTTCATTGGGCAACCCATTCCAGTGCCTCACCACCCTCACTGTAAAGAACTTCTTCCTTAGATCTAACCTAAACTTCCCCTGTTTAAGTTTGAAGCCATCACCCCTTGTCTTACCACTCGAGTCCCTAATGAAGAGTCCCTCCCCAACATCCTTATAGGCCCCCTTCAGACACTGAATCTCAGTTATTTACAATTCTGTTCCTTGAAGCTGGATGTTTTTTCATGCTCTGTGGGAGAAAGATAACGCATGGAGGACAGATGGTAGCATTAGGACTGGTATATCTTGAGGCAGCGCTATGGGTTGCACGATTGTATCATGATGAAATCCACTTGGAGTATTGAGACCCCACGTGGAGCACTGGGTGCAGTTCTGGTGTCCCCAGCATAAGAAGGACGTGGAGCTGTTGGAGTGAGTATAGAGGAGGCCGCGAGGATGATCAGGGGACTGGAGCACGCGCTATATGAAGACGGGCTGAGAACATTGGGGCTGTTCAGCCTGGAGAAGAGAAGCTGCGTGGAGACCCCCGAGCAGAGT